ATACCACTCAATGTTATTGTAAAATCAACTTAAAACACAGACCTTTAAAGCTTAAATTAGAACAGTTATATGCAACCTTCATTAGATATGTACTAAGGAGTATAATAATAATGACTAGCATACAACGGCTAACATACACATACAGTGCGAAATAAAACAAAATCAATACTTACAAGCAAAGCGAACAACATCTAACACACACTGACGGCAATACACTACTGGAAATTAAAAAAATTAATAAAGCACATATCGATCTTTATTTACTTAAAAAAACTACGATAAAATCGCTAATTTTCGGTTTATATTACAGTATCGACAAAAATATATTTTAATGTTTAATCCGTCAAACACCAAGCGGTCACCGGTGACCGCGACCTATTGTTCTTGAATTGTGTCTATAAAACCGGTACTCGACGAGTTAAATTGATACAAATTTCAGTTATAGGCGGTGAAACTAATGCGTTTTTCCAACGGGTTCATAGATGCTATACTAAGATTTCAAACTAGAAAAAGCTTTGAAAACCATGCACACATTAAAATAACAATAAAGTCAAAGTCAAAATCATTTATTTCAATGAGACCAGGAAGGCACTTTTGAACGTCAAAACAAAATTTGAAATATTTAAAAAAGTTGTCAGTCTGTCGGTCTGTACTCTAGTGAAGCTATCTCATTCCGAGGTGTATATTCCTATGGAGAAGAACGAGCAAGACACTCCATAGCTTACTCTTTTTCTATCAGGTTCACGATACAATATTCTTGGTTACATTGTTTCGTTGGTTCAATTATGTGAGAACAATGTAACACCAATATTCAGTCAAGGAGAAAGAAAAAGAAAATAACCTTGAGGACAACAAATTTAATACAGTCTGCAGCTGACCAGTCTCAGTCCCAATGATAAACAATCTCAAACCCCTCTGTCTTGAAGGCGGGTAATTGATACTAAAACTTTCTCCTAAGTGTAACAAGCACTGAATGAAAACCGCATTAAAATAGGTTCAGCGAATCGCGAAATAATTGCGCACAAATTTATATACATACAGGTTAAATTGACTACTTTTTATTACTTTTTTTGAAGTCGGTTAAAAATAAACCTAGTTACATCTCTCAGTTGTTGTTTATTAATGTGTTTAAACCTTTCTGACTTCTATTATATGAGATAATATCATGGAAAATCACTTTTAAACCATAGTATATATGTCATGAGACATACTAAATTAATTACTATGTTTTCGGTTTACTCACGTAACTGTTTGAGAAGGAATGTTGCTCATGAATATGAGCCTCTAGCATGGCTTGAAACTAGTCGAGTTCCTCGTCAAACATTTACGTGAGTAAGAGGAAAACTTAATAATTTGTGTAGTTACTGTTTTCCTTAAATAGCTGATGCTACGGTAGAATATGCAGTCTCCTTTGGTGTGGGGCATCATTAGTCCCCTAAACGTGCCTATGCAGATATCGTTGCCGCTATCCAAACTGAATCGTCGCAGAAAAAGCAAGCGGCCAATATAAAACGGGGTCAAGCAAACCAGCCTAGTCTGAAAAAGGACAAGCATGACAATGAGGGCTTCATTAAGGTAGAAAGGAAGAAGAAGCCTCCTTGCCGCAACCAGTGCGGTACCGCGCTGGCAGGACCCAACATGCTTCTGCGTCCAGCGACACCCACGACGCTGCTGTACGTGTCCCGACTGCATCACTCCACGAAGGCAGAGGATGTCGTGGAGTATTTGCGAGTGAAGACGAACTGGACCTTGAGAGTCGAGAAGTTGGAGTCGCGCCACAATACTAACTTCAAATCGTTCGTGGTGCGGGTTCCAACACATGATCTTGAAACCTTTCTCAAGGAACAGTTTTGGCCGAAGGGTATCGTGTATCGGCGTTTCCGTGGCCGGCTACGTGATACCAGTCAGCGAAACACGACGCCGTCTCTTCGTATGCAATAATTACCTCTATAATTAGTTTTGTTATTGTATATCTATTAGTTTATTGATGTTTAAATTTTTTGGTATTTGTTATTTTTTAGTTTTGTATTGTATTTTTATTTGTGTATTATATTTTATATGGGCCACAGTTGCCTGAAATAAAGAAATAAATAAAAAAAAAATAAATAAAATTAGAGCCTCATAGGATTATACACTTCCGTATTAATTTATGTTTTCTCTCCTTGATTAAATGAGAAAACTATACTTATACATTAGCCAAAGAGGTTGTTTCTCCTATTGTTGTCCTCAGTTTCAAGTGTTGAATCAAAATAATGATAATATAAATGACGTAGACGCAAGGATTCTTAAATAAAATTAATACATTTGAAAACCATTTTACATGAAAAAAATATTTATTCATACTGTGTATTTTTTTTTAATTTTTAAACAAATCGTAAAGTCTTGCCACTGCAAAAATAATTTAATGCATTAGTGTTGCCAGTCTTAAATTAAAATAGTGACTTTAAACCAAAATATAATGGTAACTAATAGTGACTGTTAATGTTATATACCAATTTATATTTATAATACTTAAGTTATATGATTTATCGAATTTTGTTGACAGATTCTAGGTCGAAAATGTAAAATTATAAGGTGGAATGTCGATTGCAGGATTTTAGGTGGAATATTAATGTGTTTTTTATGTTATAAAGTTGACTGTGGCGTGTATTAATTTGAATGACTGTATACATATTTAAGCTTGCTTTGTTCTATAGTATTATCAGAAAAGCAATATGATTTCATGAATAGTTACACCGTTGATTACCTTGACCAGTATACTAGACTCTGATTTAAACAAAATACACTAATATATATTTTTTAGGAAATACATGTGTTATTCGTTACTTCTGATAAATTATTTAGCGAATATTTTAGTGTATGGCAAATATTTTTGTTAAAAATAGTTTTTTTTTTCGATCGATTAACATAACAAAAACATAACATCACGCCTTTTATCCTCGAAGGGGTAGGCAGAGGTGCACATTATACCACTGTACAATGTAACACCAACTTTTCACTATTTATGTTATGAGTCCCATGTAATAGGGGGTGAGCCTATTGCTATATACCGGGCACAGTTCCAGACTCCGTGCTATTATTGAGAATTTTTTAAAACCCAGTAATACTTTGCCCGACCCGGGAATCGAACCCAGGACCCCTTACCCGATTTAGATTAAATAAAGAGTGTAACGCGGTACACCGATTTAGGTTTGTGTCGAACGCACGCGCGCTACTCTAGTGGCAACACGCCACCTCACCACTATTTCCCTTCCCCCGCTTCCCCGCCACTGACCGCTCGACGCTAGAGAGAAGGAGTCCCGCGCCGGAGCCGCGACGCACGCCCATATTTGTGCCGCGAATATTTCTTTGAGTTTTTTTATATTATTGTGCAACTTTGTTTTATATTTAGTTTATTTCCAATATATACAGTTTACAGTCATTCGTGTGTCGAACTTTATTTCACGCCCCTGAGAACCCACCACCAAGAACAATCATCATCAACTATAATACAAGAGTTAATATAACTTAACCGAAAACTGAAAATTCATTCTATATTTGTTTGTTTTTGTTCAAAATGCGACCTAGAATAAGTCAACAAAATTGTGTAATATACAAAAAACGTATATAAATATATACGCTTGAGCATATAGACTAGACTACATAGACCATTTGGTATAATCATTTCATTAATTTATATGAGTAACATTAATGTAAAAGTATTTCAAATTTTATCATAATTATTATTATTATACACTTCTTGCATTGAATACAAAACCCCCTTAAATAGAGAAAATAAATTATTTTTATCGATAATTAGGAATATTGTCTTTTTAAAAATAAGTCCATCACTATGTACAGACGCTGGCACATCAAGCTACCCTCACCTTGAATTTTTTTAATTATATTTTCAACTTATCATTGATTTAATCCCTAAATGTAGAGATGTACAATATACACGTGTACAATATAAGACCTAGGGTTCACTATTTATGTTATGACTCTTCTATAGATAGCTTTAGGGCCCAGTTTTGTACCGATCATTGAGTCATCAACAGCCTATAAGTGCTATTACTGACCAAAGGCCTCTTTTCACATGGAGACGCTTTGAGCATTCCACGCTGACTCAATGCGGGATAGCGATTTCAGACATATAATTAGAAATTATAAGCCCAGGTTTCCTCACGATGTTTTTCCTTCACTGTTTGTCAGTGGTGTCTAAATAATCTTAGAAAGTACATATAACTCGGAAAAAGTCACATTGGTACTTGCCGATGGTAGGTTTCGAACCCGCACCCTCATGCATGAGAAGTGGGCGTCTTAAACCTCCGGGCCACCACGACATTTTTTTAGAGTCATTGAGTATTTAAATTTAAAACTTCATTAAAATCTCTCTAAATGCCTTTGAGGGCAGTTATTTACCCACAGTCTTCTTTTTGCCATAATTAATATAAAAGAGGTGTGGCTAGCTTTACGAGCGAGTGTCTGTATTCGAGATTAGAGTAGTGACTTGTAGGGGTTTATCGATAAAACATATCGACAATTAAAAGCGAAATTTCGACTAGTTATAAGCACATATGTTACCTAACTTAATATTATTATTATTTTATTAATGAAATACATTCATTGGAATAGTATTTAAAATTAATAGTTTTAAGATCTAGTTGGACATTGATATGTTATATAAAAAATGCATGCGGTATTAAAATGTTACCATGCGAACTCATGGTAAATGTATTACCATATTTGGTGGAACCTTTCTAAAGGTTGTCTAATTAATAATTACTACAAAAATGTCAAAAAACAGTGCAAACGATAATTACATCAAAAACAAAAAAAAAATGCAAACAACAATGCATTGTCAACCAATTTTTTATCATCGATTTCTTCCATAGTTACAAAAAATATTCTCTACAATCCAATAGTTAAAAAACTATAAATAAACAATCAAAAAAATCGATGATAAACAATCGATAAATGGGAATCGACTATACAACAAAGTCACATCACTATCTACTAGGTCAGGAGCAACACTTGGCGAGGCTACAGTCACATTTGACTCTACGCGCGCGCCGCCTACAGAACCCATAACATTTTAAGGCTAAACAACACAGCCCCCCTTTTTTACTAGCCTCTGATTTACATGATTCCCGACTATGCAATCTTTGCAACTCCGGAATTGATTTAACCTCCTCTTTATCACTCAACAATTTATCCAATCGACTCTTCAACTGCGTAGGCGATACACTACGATCCCTACTCATTTTAGTCGATTTATTATTGTTATTAGTCGATTTTTCGGTCACTTCTATCGATACCTCGTCTGAGCCGGAGGAAGCTTCGACGTTAGGGCTGTGAGAATCGATACTTTCTGGCGTGTAGGGATCGATACATCGACGGACACTGAGTAGTGTATTATCGATATCATTTACGTATACACCATCGAGACTGGAGTCAGCACTAGTAATTTCTACTTGCGGTATTCTAAGCATAGTTTCATTGAGGGAGCCAGTCCTTGTTCTTTTTAATTTTTCATCTGTTAGATTAGCTGGGTGACTAGTAGATATAGTGGGGACTTTGAGTTTTTTGTTCGCGTAGAGGTCTGGGTCTGTGGGCAGGCGCGGTAGTGGGGGGAGGGGCGCCAGTGGGGGGAGTGGACACAGGAGGGACAGGGTGGAGGGGAGGAGGGCCGCGCTAGTACACAGGGAGCAGTGAGGGGGGGCGCAACAACTGAGCCTACCTCGGTCACTCTGCAGCATCACGCGGAGGTAGATCGGCTGGAAGATAAAAGATTTGCGTTCCATTAATAAGGAAAATAGTCAAGTTTCTGATAATATAGTTGTTTTAGGGCTAGTCTGAAGAAGGTTTCGTTAACCAAGACTGCAAATGTTAACAGATTGATTATTGCTGAGTGTTCAAATTCCTAAATAATTTAGTACTTAGTATGAAAATAAGAATTGAAATGTTTTGAGACGAAGTTGGCACTTTATAAATAATATAGAATACATTTGATATGTCTATTTAATACTGGGAAATTATTTTGTGTCGGTTTTAAAGTACTTTATGTGAGTTTATAGATGAACACCAAATGTATTTAGCTTTAAAATCAAGCAACCAAATAAGGTTATGTTACCTTATGGTCCCCCATACACGCGGAGTCCCCAATGACTCCGTAGACAGGGCGTCGGCGGGGGGTGGGGTCCCGTCCCCCGCGGGGGGCTGCCTCCCCTTCCGACTGGTTGCGGACTAGGCGACGGCGACCGCTAGCTTCTTCTGACATTCTGGAGTAAAGAAATACGGTCTTGAGGTAGAAAATTTTATATACATATTTTTGTGCACGTACCAAATTATGGTTTAATTAAATGCTTTGTCTTTGACTTTGTAGTTTCGAATGGAGAAAAACGAGCAATAATCTCCATAGTTACATACGTTATATACGTACGGCCCTTGTACACAAAACGCTCCCGAAAACCCTGAAATTTTTAATTATTCAACACCAGCCTTGAGCGGTTGATTACAACAATTATTACATAGAAAAATAATTTAATTCCTTACACATAACATAACATAACATCACGCCTTTTATCCCCGAAGGGGTAGGCAGAGGTGCACATTATGCCAATGTACAATGTAACACCCACTTTTCACTATTTATGTTACGAGTCTCATGTAATAGGGGGTGAGCCTATTGCCATATACCGGACACAATTCCAGACTCCGTGCTACTACTGAGATTTTTTTAAAAACCTAGTAATACTTTGCCCGACCCGGGAATCGAGCCCGAGACCCCTTGCCCGGCAGTCGCACTTACGACCACTCGGCCAACGAGGCAGTATGGAAAATACTAAAGTGATTGTGATTATTTTTTAATATTGTATTGTATTGAACAGTCGAAATAATTTATTTTTCATTAAGGCAGTACACAATTAAGATGTAAGTGAAATAAATGCTTAAACTTTGAATATAAAGAAAAACAATTCCATCATATACCCAGTCTGCCACGTACCTGGCGGAGATAGCCTGCTGTACACTGGTGGGGTCGGCGATACTCTTCCGACTGAGCGACGGCGCGGGGACGCACAGCCCGTCCAACTCCGCCAGGCTACTCTTTTTCTCCAACGTCTTACCCGGACTGCCCTGAATACACAAACAATATCTTTAGAAAAATCAAAAATAAGTTACGGTTTATGACATACAGCTTGATGATATAAAGACAGATAGTAGTCTTTAAATCTGGTTACATACATAACTTACATAACATCACGCCTTTTATCCTCGAAGGGGTAGGCAGAGGTGTACATTATACCACTGTACAATGTGACACCCACTTTTCACTATTCAGGTTATGAGTCCCATGTAATAGGGGGTGAGCCCATTGCCATATACCGGCCGAGACCCCTTGTCGGTCAGTTGCACTTGCGACCACTCGGTCAACGAGACACTCGTCTGTATAATAATAATCTGGTTACGTTTTACCAAATAACCCTTTCTCCAATCTCCCCAATCCCCAAATCCCCAAATCCTCAATCAAATAATCCTTAAATTCCTAGTCTCTAAAAGGCCGGTAACGCACTGCAAGTACCTACGAAGTCTCTGGTGTTCCAAGTGTCCATGAGCGACGCCGATTGCTTACTATCAGGTAATCCGGCGGCTCGTTTACCGGCTTATGCCATAAAATAAACCATTATTGGGTACGAAATTTTTTATTTCAAGAATCATGACTACATGTTTACCCTAAAATGCACCTTATTCTCATGCCAATAGAGTAGTAAATACCTGTGTATGTGTAGCCGGCGAGGCGGACCGCGCCGGACTACTGTCTGACGACGACACGCGCCCACTACTGTCGGTGGAGTCTGTCACTGACTTCCTGCAATATGAAATAATAATAATAATTTAAACTGTCAAACACCTCGAGGACACCGGTGACCGCAACCTATTGTTATTTAATTGTGTCTATAATGACTATATACTCAAAGGGTTAAGGAATTTTTAGACGTGTGAGTGTGATACCTAAAGGTTCTGATCTGTGAATGCTCTGGTCATTGCTTATCATCACTGAAGCTAAGCGTCATGGTGGTCCGGAGATTTAAGACGCCTGCTTCTCTCATTCATGAGCGTGTGGGTTCGAAACCTACCAACGACAAGTACCAATGTACTTTCCAAGTTATATGTACTTTCTTTGTTTTATTTGGACACCATTGACAAACGGTGAATGAAAACATCGTGAGGAAACCTGGGCTTATAATTTCTAATTATAAGACTGAAATTGCCAACCCGCATTGGATCAGCGTGGTGATTAATGCTCAAACCTTCTCCATGTGAGAAGAGGCCTTTGGTCAGCAGTAGCGTATAGGCTGTTGATGTGTATAATTCAAGCTACATTATAAATTTTGTCGCCCTAAGTCAAATATTGAAAAAGTATTGAATTTTGAATGATATATTTCCGTCAAAATGAGTTTCAAGAGTGGAAAATAAGAAAGGGGTTTCACCCCCGACCAAAATAACTACCAAGATGGTTTTTGGAAGCCAAAAATCGAAAACTGCTGCGAAATCGGTGGTTTGGTTTTCAAGACATTTTCTAATATTTGTTCGGTATTGAGTATTTGTTCGGTATACCTATACCGGATTCAAATTTTTCAGTTTTATATTAACTACATGCAACTACATACATAGTATAAAAAAAAGCTTGCTATTCGCGTCTGTCTGTCCCTATGTATGCTTAGATCTTTAAAACTACGCAACGGGTTTTGAATCAGTTTTTTTTTATTTTAATTTTTAAGGAAGATTTATATGTAAAATACATGCATATCGCACCCGTGCGAAACTGGGGCGTGTTGCTAGTTAATTATAGAAGAAGATATTACCTGGAGGCATGCATATGTCTATTGTCTGCCGGGCGGGCAGTGTCGTGCTGCACCAGTAGTCGCGCGGACTGCGACAGGAGCACTCGGTCGCACCACGCAGGACATCTACACAACCAACGACTAATTATTTCAACTTTTCAATGTTTAAAAATATCGTATTTCATAACATAACATCACGACTTTTATCCCCGAAAGGATAGGCAGAGGTGCACACAGAAGTAACACCCACTTTTCACTATTTATGTTATGAGTCACTATTCATGTAATAGGGGGTGAACCTATTGCCATATACCGGGCACGATTCCAGACTCCGAGCTACTACTGAGATTTCTTTTAAAACCCTGTAATACTTTGTATCTTTAAATACCTGTAATACCGACCCGGGAATCGAACCCGAGACGACGGTAGTCGCACTTGCGACCACTCGGCCAACGAGGCAGTCATATAGTATTTCATCTTTGTTTTTAAGCGTTGCACCACACTAGGAATGTATAGTTGGTGTGTCATGTCGTTTCCCAGACCCGGAACAACAATTTTTGGATCACACAAAGAGTTGTTCCCTGCGGGAATCGAACCTGCAACACGTTACACGGCAGCTAGTTGCTGGCTGCCGCACCAACCAAAAGGTCTGGGTGTCATGTGTATGTGAACTTGTATGTTTGTAAACGCACCCACGATACAGGAGAAAATACTAGTGTGGGGCAACGTTTTATACAAAATCAAAAAAAAAATAAAAGGTTTAAAAAGAGGAAAATCCTACCTGGTTTTCATATAGTGTGTGGGTAGATGTACGTCCTCTTCGAAGGGGTAGGAGGGAGGGAACTTCACGGGGAACTCGTACAAGTGAGGCCGGAGGGCTTCTAACTCACGGTCGAAACGTTGCAGCTGAGAATGTAATGATCATTCATTTTATTATTATAGTTATGTTATTCATACCATATTTTTAACGAGGTATGTTTATATAATGAGTGATATTAAACAAAATTAGACTCTATTTAAACAAATAATAAAGAATAATCTTTTTAAAGACTAAGGCCGGTATTACCGAAGAATACTCAAGCAGAGAACTGCTCAAGCAGTTAGAAAGGGATGCAAATATCTATTAAATGTTTTGCATCCTTCTTTTACTATACTCCGCTCTACTCTCCACTAACTATGCATATCATGCAAAATTAAACTCTACTCACTCAATAATAAAGTACATTTACCTACACTCTCCAATTTCAGAATATATTTCTGATGGGCTACTTGAGAAAACTATTTCTTCCCTATAGTCAGCATGACGCGCCTACACAAAACAAAATTAAACTCTACCCATTAAAGAATAAAGTATATTTTTCTGCTTACCCAGGGTTCCCTGAAGATCTTCTGATGGTCTACATGAGAAAATTCCTTCTTCCCAATAGTGAGTACTACACGGCCGTCACTAGGAGATCTGTATTGAAGTTTAGACGCGTCGACATTGCCACCGTTCTGAAGTCGAGACCCTGATAGTTCTTCTGTCACTTTCTGTAAGGAAATATTGAGTTTATGTTTTAACCACTGTGAAAATTTTGATATGCTTCCCTATCAATTTTAAGTCTGTCACTATACGTGAGGACTTGTAATTGGCTTTCAGTAGTTTATGTTGGCTTCTATTTTTATGTAGCTTTTAAGTTTTAGCTGTAAGTCCTCCAGGGTGTAATAAATAAATAAATAAATTTATTGTTAGAGGTCTTTTTTTCTCTATCGGTCTCTGTCACTGGATTTTAGTGTTACATTGTTCTCGCACAATCCAAACAATAAAACTATGTAACTAGAGAATTGTATTGTGAACCTGATTGAAAAAGAGTAACCTATGGAGTTTCTTGCTCGTTCTTCTCCATAGGAATCTACACCTTGGAATGAGCAAATAGTTTCAGTTTTAATTTTTTGTTGACGTTTAAAAGTACCTTTTTGGTCTAATTGAAATAAATTATTTTGACTTTGACTTTATGGAAAAGGCCGGCAAACGAGCTGACGGATCATCAGATATCATTAGAGATCGCCTATCTGATCTGTTGCCGGCCTTGAGGGTTGGGCCTTTTCAAAGCTGGTAACGCTCTGAAAAGTTCTCTGGGGTTGGGGGTGTCTATCGGCGGTGGCAATTACTTACCACCATATGCTAGTTTTGGGTCCATCGGCTTGGGTGAGGCGCGAGTGTCTTTTACTAAAAACCACTCCGTGCCTACTCCTGTTTTGAGCCGGAGCCCCAGTAATCCAATAGATCTATTTTACATTCTCTACTCTATTCGTTTCACTTCGTGTAAGGTTACTATTCACTTCTAGGGTCTTGTTTACGGAAACTGGGCGCATTGTGCGGCGCGTCAGGCTTCCGTTGTATCTAATTATGTTTGTATTTTTGCGAGCGACAACGCGGCCCGCTGCGGCAACGTACGATGCGTGGGTACCCAACGCGATGCACAATATGTTTCTGTAAATGAGACCTTAAAGACTAGATTTTAGAGTAGAATTAACACTACTTACTAACCTTGACGACTCCCCCGGTATCCGTGCGGAAGTTGAAGTCTCCGAAGATGAAGTACGGCGCGGCGTGCGCGTCGGCGTGCAGGTGGCGCAGCGTGTGGCGCAGCGCGCGCCGCCGGGACCGGCAGTACACCTGGCGGGAACGTACTATACATTCAACTAAGTTTCTTTTTCTTCAATTCCGGCTTATTCTTGAAGACCACAAAAAGCTATCTGATATACGCGTAATGCAGTTTCGACCCTAATCATGAAGCAAGGGCTAGATAAATATCATTTAGGGCATTTAGGCCCTAATGATCCTGCTAAGGAGTGGAATTCTTTGCTAGATTCTGTATTTCCTGAAGTTGTCTTCAAGGCCCGAGTGATTAGTTTACTTATGGGACGACTTGCTCCATCGTAGACCGCATCATCCTTTACCACCAGGCGAGATAGTGGCCCATCAAATATAAAAAATGATCGATTTCGAATGTACAAACCCTACCTACGCGCCCAAATTTTAAGGCATCATGTTATCCAAGGAAAGGTTCATCTTCGCAAACTAAGAATAACAATTACAAATTGTAGGTATGTAATGGTGGCATTGTAGATAGGACCTAATAAAGAAACTACTACCTCATCTTGTTATGCATACAGATACCAGCATATAAAACTATTTCAAACTACAAAATTACTTTAATTTTAACTTAATAACAATGAAATAAAGTTCAAAATTGGCACAGCAAAATGTACCGATGTCTTAACCTATCATCTAGCAAGCGTATCTTAATGGAACTTACAGAAGGAAAGGGTTCGATGGCGAGCAAGTTAGACGCGTCGTGGAAGAGATGTATGTTGACGAACTCTATGGCCGTTCCGCGCACCCACCAGCGCGTGCGTAGAAAGCCTTTGCGCGACCACTTGCACTGAAACAAATACAAATTAACATAACATAACATCACGCCTTTTTATCCCCGAAGGGGTAGGCAGAGGTGCACACAGAAGTAACACCCACTATTCACTATTTATGTTATGAGTCCCGTGTAATAGGGGGTGAGCCTATTGCCATTTACCGGGCATATTTCCAGACTCCGTGCTACTATTGAGATAAAAAAAAACCAGTAATACTTGGCCCGACCCGGGAATCGAACCCGAGACCCCTTGCCCGGCAGTCGCACTTGCGACCACTCGGCCAACGAGGCAGTCTAGATAGAAATTATTACATAAATATATGTTCAAAAGTCGAAAAGTCAAAGTCGAAGCATTTATTTCAATTAATCCTTAATTACGCATTTTTGAAACGTCATAAATTTAATTGTCCGTCTGTCTGTCAGTCAGTGAAGCTAGGCGGTCGTTCCAAAGTGTAGTTTCGAATGAAGAAAAACGAGGAAGAAACTCCGTCGTTACTCTTTTAAAATAATGTTGATGTTTATTAAGTATTAGGATAATTAACGCTGAAATACTCAAACGCTACTCAATGTTAAGTCACGCTTAAATATAGTTCTGTCCCTACAATTCTTTGTAAAATGAAAGGGACGGCTTGATATTGAAGTACTACTATAAATTTAGTAGCCTTTCAGTATTCGTGTGGCCTACTCACTAAAATAATGAAGCAGATTGCGTCCTTAACTCAACAGTTTAGTTTATAGGTAACAATCAAAGAGAAATATTCGTCACGTAGGAACTTTCACTGTCCAAATAGTTTCGATATAATTTATAGCTACCGTTGACCTTATAAAGATCCTATTTATGACTCACATGTAGGCTTTGAATTCATTCTATATCTTTCATCATTAAGTTAGTATTGTTGTACAGATGCTAAGTAGTAACAAGAACCTATGGGAGTCCACCGCTAGGCTATTTTGTTGTTATAATGTTTACATTATAATAAAGAAATAGTAACATTGAGCCACCTACAGATTCACACAAATAATGACAAAATGGGTAACAGCTAAGACAAAAGTAAGATTATAAATATATCCAAAACAGTACGCACACAACAAGAAAGAGATTTAGAGTCTATCCAGATTTACCATTTTTTTCTCTGGATCTCTCTCTTTTTTTAGATGGATATCTATCTATACATATAAATAAAAATTAATTTCCGTTCGTTTGTCTCGCTAGAACTCGAGAACGGCTGCACCGATTTGGTTAATTATGATTTTTAAATATTCGTGAAAGTTCAAAAGGTGAGAAAAACAATTTTAGGTGGTATGAAGTTCGATGGATCAGCTAGTATATATTTTAGAAATAGTTATCAAAAAGTTTTTACTAATCATGGTTCGAACCTTCCTTAGGCTTGTACCAACGATACCTAGTTCATGCTTGATTAGAAAAATGTATCATTACTTACCTCAGGAAAGAAATGCTGTGGGAATTTGGCCTTTTCCTTAGTGGTGATCTTTTCAATGTTCCCAGCGTGCACCTCCTTGCCCGTGGCCTCCACGTAGGCCTTCTGTTCAAAGTCCCAAATCTTCAGGTCTGTGAGTGAGGAATGTGCGAAGTACATGTTGCCTAGTGCCTGGAGAATAACAGGTTACACAATTAATTTGTTTTATTTTATGAACTTTTTATTTATACTTAATGTAGGTACACGGATAACTTATGCCAAAGAAACCAAAAACTTCATGTTTTCAATGTTGCCTCAGATCAGGATTTTCTCCTATGTCGTGGGTGCGTTTACAAAGATACAAATTCACATAAGGGAAACTATCCACATTGCAACATTTGACTTGTTTTTTTTAAGGGGGGAAAAACATCGAATTTCTGCTCCCGCTTGCGTGAGGCGGAAGGGAGTGTCAGACTCTTACTGACTAAAAACCACCCCGTTCCTTCTTCTGCACGTCGAGCCGAAGCCCCGGTAACCCGTTAGGTTCTTCGCGACCGTTAGGTTCTCCGCGACATTTGACGTATGCATCCATCCTTCACAAACAATAGGCGGCCTACAAATGACAAACACTTGCATCTTGCTTAAAAACAATAGGGCAACGGGGGCAACGGGGGCAACAGGGGCAACGGGGGCAACGAGGCAACGAGTACAGTGTCTTTAACATAACACCTAGACCAAACAACAACTTGTAGATCGAATTATATCTAGAAATAAATCTAGAATCTAATAATAGCATAACCTTTAACTTAGCCACAACCTTTTCGCCCACATATTGCTTTTTTGCTCAACGAAAATGCTAAATGTTAAAAACTTTATATGTAAACTTAAAGTCCAATCGTCTAAAAGACATACAAAAACTGGTTCCTAGAATTTGGACTACTTCATTGAAAAAAGAAGAAAAAGACATTTATTCATACCCATTATACCATATTACCCATTCTCACGAAATGAGACACAAAACAAAACATCCTTACTAATATTATAAATCTGAAAGTGAGTTTGTTTGTTTGTTCCACCTTCACGCCGTAACTACTCAACCGATTGCTTTGAATTTTTGCAGACGTCAAGAGAAGTCCGGATTAAATAATAGGGTACTTTTTAACCCGGAATAATAGATATTCTCGAGGAAAACAAAAGTATTGGTATAGATGGCGCTGTGTGTATTGGTATAATGTCACATAGGCTACTTTTTATTCTTTTGTGACGCGAGCGAAGCCGCGGGTAAAAGCTAGTACAGTTATAAGTATAACACAGTCATGTCACAGATCATGTGGATGTACCTTTGTGTGTCCCAAGTCTGCCTTTTAAGGCATTTGATATTAAGACCAAATCCATTTTTTTTATGGGATAAGCCGGTAAACGAGCCTACGGATCACCTGTTACAAATTTCATAAAGATCCCTTCAGTCGTTTTGACGTGATTAAGTAACAAACATACAAACAAACTCACAAATTTTAGAATGTTAGTAGGATATTATGCATTATTAATTTCTGATGCATTAATATTTTTTTTTAAAAACGTTACCCCACCCTAGGATTGTCTCCTGTGTCGTGTGTGCATTTACAAACATACAAGTTCACATACACATGACACCCAGACAAGAAACAACAATTTGTGGATTACACAGAGTTGTTTCGTGCAGGAATCGAACTCGCGACACGTTGCGCGGCAGCCGGTTGCCCAGCCACAGCATCAACCGTGCAGTCATTATTAGTTTTTGCACTCTTCTCTATAAATTTTAACTTTGCCATACAAATCTTCTATCAGCATACATTTCGACAAAAGAGATGCCTACAATACAATCTTTAAATACTCACAGTAAACTTTTCAGGAGAGCTGAAGTCTTCATCCAAAAATATCCGGATCTTGTCAAAGAGTCTCAATTCTGGACAGTCACAGAGTCTTTGAACAAAGTCCTGGACGTACTGCATGGACTTCTCATAGGCTTTCCCTCCAACTTCTTGCAAGTGCAGCGCTATGAATTTTGGGTCCATTCGAGAGACCGCCTGCAGGAACTCTGATGTCCATATCGGAAGCATTACTGAGGGCTGTGGAAGAAAAAAAACTATTTTAAAATCTGTTCTTATTTTTTTATGGGATAAGCCGGTAAACGAGCAGACGAATCACCTGATGGTGAGCAATCGGCGTCGCCCATGCACACCTGGAACACTAGTGGTGTTAAAAGTGCGTTACCGGCCTTTTAGGGATTTGGTATTTGAGGGTTTTTGGAGAATGGGTAATTGGGCCTCTGGTAACCTCACTCACACGACGAAACACAACTCAAGCGTTGTTTAACGTTGGTTTTCTGTGAAGTCGTGGTATCACTCCGGTCTAGCCGGCCCATTCGTGCCGAAGCATGGTACTCTCACACATAAATCAATATTACTAAGTATTTTTTTTTAAGTAATAGTTTATTTAGAAATAGTTGTCTAATTTAGAAATAGTTCGTTTTAATTTTATTTAAGTTTTTATTTGAATAAATGATACAATATTACTAAGTTGAAGGTTTATTTTGGTTAAACACCTTGATCTGCGGATATGAATTGAACCATATTTTTTGTTAAGAAGTTCATTTATAGAAGAAAGTCTGACAGCATTACGCAGATTATACGCTGGTCGTAACCAATAGGATCGAGCAGCGGGTGAAACAGCGTAGGAGAAGCTATTTAAAACATGTAGTACAAATCTCTTTTATACGTTTGCCAACAAAGATCCTCCTCTTTTGAACTCTTTTTAACAATACAAAGGGTGTAATAATCTTAAAAATTAAAGGTATACAAAGGGTGGGCTTATCACTAAACAGTCATCTCTTCCAGAAAATCTTTGGGTAGTTAGGAAATAAAGGAATCACGAAATGGATCGTAATTTGCGGTGCGTCCATCTAGGTTATGTAGTGTATTTTTTATATGTATTTCTTATTACATTTCAGTACAGTTTTAAACCATTTCTTGCACCATTAAACCATAGCTGGTTTGTAGTGGTACTTACATTTGCTTAACAAGTTATTTATAAACCCATTGAATATACTCACAAATGACAATAGATATAATATTTTAAATAAGTTACAAATATTACGAGTAAAAGAAAAAATCCATGAGCAAAGCATAAACGCACTCATTAAAATTGCAATCACTTTTTTAAATAAAGAAACCGATACCGACACGCTCGGTTCCAACTAATGTTAAACTTTTGCAGTCTACCCCACAGTATCCCAGTATAGTTAGGTACGGCATAATGAGGAAACAAATATCCTGAACTATACTTAGGCCAAGATCGATGTGGAATGCTTGTAAACAATCCATAAAAGTAGAACTATGTTTTATCAATTCCATGCAATTGCGTGCTATTACACTCGCCCTGGCATTTCTGAGTTATTGTAAAATGATAGAAGTAGGAAAAGAAATTTTGGTGTGACCATTTAAAACCTTTGTTTAAAACATTTCACATCGATCTTGGGTTGAGTATAGACTCTATTTAACACTCCATTCTTGACTATTTCGTTGGTTAAACGCCCACAATAGTGTGGGATACGATCACCAAGTCGGAAAGTGTTCTCAGTTAGATTAAATCGCACATTCAGAGGTTAACCAAAACCCGATTAATCCGTGTGACTGATTCCATGAGATAATACGCATACCTTGCATGATATTCACCTATATGTTTTAAATTGAAAACTAGGTCGTGACATGGATCGTTAAAAGAAGTGTACACTTCTATTATTGCTTAGGAGATACAGGAAAAAGAAACAAAGAAGATTTTGGGAAGATAAGATTTCTTGTGATCCGTAGAGGGAGCTCGCACGTTTTTGCGATGCGACGTCGCATCGCAGTTTTGTGTACGAGTCCTATTAACCTCAGATACCAAGCGGTAACAAACACACGAGTACCTGTATATATTTACGTTACGTTACCACCCAAATATTTTTAGACGCTAAAATAAAATTCGGCACGTGATTTTTTATGGTGAATTAACCGCATGATTATCTAATAGGATATGGTATACGCAGGATGCTGTGTGCTGTATAAATAGTGTATAATAAAATATAATCGGTCGGATGACCGTTGATAACCGCAGTCGGTTTTTGTGTATTATTTTAGAATCCACAATTTCTGCGTGTTTGTTTTTTTATTTGGTAGATTGGTAAAGATCATCGAGTTATATGCTCGCTAAATAAACAGTGTATTCAGTATATGTTTTAACTATTGCTAATAGTAATTCTCAGGACAAGTTAGAATATATATCTACTTCTTTCTGTAATATCTTCTGAATTACTTATTTGTGGGGCCCATCACTTTGTATATATGCCTAAAGTCGATTCGACGAGTTTCGCTATTGCTTCGATAGATTTTAGTTTAGTCATTACTTTAGAGCCTTGTGGACAGGATTTATGATTAGTATTACAGTCGAACTGATCAGTTAAATCGTAGGTTCATATACTGCGAATTTATATAATATCTTAATTCACAATCTTAGTTACCGGAGGCCCAATTACCCCCATTCCCCAGTCTCCCCAATCCGCCAATTCCCAATATACTCAAACTCCTATTCTCAAAAGGCCGGTAACGCACTTGTAACGCCTCTGGTGTTCCAGATGCCCATGGGCGACGCCGATTGCTTCCCATCAGGTGATTCGATTGCTCGTTTAACAGTTTCTCCCATAAAAAATCTTAATCCACAGATTTCAAATGAATATGAAATAGGCAGATAAGACTACACACCGATACAATATAACTGTACAGTTCGTCTGTATAGTTAAACTGCATAGTTAAAACGGAAGGTGTGTAGCGTATAAGATAGGCTTAATAAACAACCAGCATAGAGTCTAGAACTGCTTGGCAATCAACTCGTCCCTTATTACGTATTTACATGAAACTCATAAAGAGGTGAAAAGTCGGTGTCTCATTTAATTATGTAAGTAGAGTACATATCTGCATAAAAAGGGTCGATGTTTATGTTTTAATATGGAAACCACAGTTCCTACGGACTTTCTTTTTTCAGATTTGGGTCGGTAAAGATATGCATACTTAATGAAATACCTGCTACTCTTGGAAAGGGTAAACAAGGGTGTACTTCCTTCTTAATTACCCAGGTTTTATGTTATCGTAAGTCTATTAAATTGAGGATTAGCGGTAAAGCGAAAGAAAGCTTTGCTCAGAGGCCGAACGAGCGGTACGGATTAAGGATTGTAAGGAGGCTTCTATCATGTTGTAGGACGATCACAGCTTATAAATAGTAGATAAGAATTACCAATTACTATGATCCTGTTAATTATTGTTTATCGGCTTATTCACGTATTTATTTGACGAGGAACTCGACATATTTCAAGCTATGCTAGAGGCTCATATTCATGAGCAGCATTCCGCGACACGCGACGCGGCGTCTGTACCGCTGCTACTGACGATAATTGAAATAATTACGCCAGTAAGCCGAAAAACATAATAATAATTAATTTAGTATGTCGCACGAAAGTAATAATATAATCAAGATAATGTTGTTGAAAATTTAGCATTAAATTGTAATGAATGATTGAACCTGTTAATAACTGAAGCTTCTTGAATAAGATAACCTAACCATAAAGTTTGTTATACGTTTTCCTCAGGAGGTCGTTCCAAAATGTAGGTATTTTGGAACGAGCAAATAGTCAAAGTCAAAATCATTTATTTCAATTAGACCAGGAAGCCACTTTTGAACGTCAAAACAAAATATTTAAATATTAAATCATAAGAAAAAATGTCAGTCTGTAGTTCAGTCTTCTAGTGAAGCTGTTTGCTCGTTCCAAAGTGTAGATTCCTATGGAGAAGAAAGAGAAGAACTCCATAGGCTACTCTTTTTTAATCAGGTTCACAATACAATTTTTGGTTATATAAATATGCCATTTCGAATGGCATATAGTTTCACAAATATGGCATTTTGATTAATAAATGATTCAAACTGGCTAACACAGGTAAGGAATCCAAGGCTTCACACTTGATAGTGACCTCTCATAACCACAAACTTCTTACTTAGGTACACAGTATTTAATCATCGTTTTTGTCAGTCACTGGACACATTAATGATATTGAACTCAATTGACTTATGAACTCTTGCGTCTCTGAAGGCGTTAATAATGTAATTATGTAGCTTTTATAGATTCGGAGATGTAGATGAGAACTATGATGATTTTGAAAATTGAACATAGCGCCATCTATTTCTCGAAAGGTTATTTAAGGTCGCCACAGATTTGTATACCGCCATCCCATAGGATGTAGCCATTCGTTCGTACGAACGTAGTTTTCATACACATCAAATGCCCACTGCTGAGCAAAGCCTCTTCTCGCACGAGAAGGTTTGAGCATTAATCACCACGCTTGCTCAATGCGGGTTGGCGATTTCAAACTTATAATATGAAATTACAGGCCCAGATTTCTCACGATGTTTTTCTTCACCGTTTGTCATTGGTGTTTGAATAATCATAGAAAGTACATATAACTCGGAAAAAGTCACATTGGTACTTGCCGTTGGTAGGTTTCGGACCCGCACCCTCATGCATGAGAAGTGGGCGTAAACCTGCGAGCCACCACGACACGAGAGCTTCCATAAATTTTATCGCATATCGCCGGTGACCGCCACAAGCCCACTCATTTGTTTCCACCAAAGCGTACACTTCGCCCGGAGGTCAAATTATTATTACATGCGTATATTAAAAAAAACCACTGACCACAAATTGTGGTCGTTTCTATCTTCTATTGTCCGTTTCGCAGCTGTGGCCTGTGTCCTGTTTGCGGCGACTGTTAACATAACATAACATCACGCTTTTTGTTACCGAAGAGGTGCACATTACGGAAGTTAATGTCACTGTGCAAGGTAACACCCACTTTTCACTATTTATGTTATAAGTCCCGTGTACGTCACCCTTATGGTGAACCTATTGCCGTATACCGGGCACAATTCCAATCTCCGTGCTGCTAATGAGATTTTTTTTAAACTTCAGCGAACTTTCGGCCGCCTCTCAGAAGTACCTACACAATGACACATGAAATGTAATAGGTACAATCTTTTCATCGTTTGT